CTTGGCATGTTCCATACCCATCAGCAGGCAGTCATAAACACTCATACGACCCTCGTGCAAAAGGATCTCAAGAGTCACAAAATGAGTTTTGTTAATGTTCATGACTGCCAAAACCCTTTTTGCACCAATCCAATCCATACCTCTAGGATACGGTCTAATGCCCCTGACATAGTTAATCATATCTTCATCCCATTCAAACTCATTAATTAACTGCGTAAAGCTTCGGCCACCAACTGTTGTTGCCTCCTCGCTCATTTCGTCATATCTTAGTTTGAAGTTGGAATAGAAGTTGAGATCTAGGATTCTATCTGTGGAATCATAGTACTCAGGGTATCTCACATGCCTCTCCCGTATGAGGCTAAGGATTTCATCAACATACTGAAATAAAAAATAATATTAAAGAGTAAAGAAGAGTAATCATTGAAAAGATAAAACAAATGAACATTATGAATTGAAGGTACTAAAAGAGAAACATTACCCAGTCTTCCCACCAAATGTCCATGCTTGTCATGATCCTGAAATCCTCTCCACGAAAACAATGCATGTCGTATTCAGCACGCAGATCCTTTGCTCTCGCCAGGTCCACCAGTTTGTTCTTTTCAGCTATAGTCACACGCTTATAAACATTCACATGCTTGAACTCCAACATTTCCTCTCCTACGGCCATTGGCAATTCTCCAGAGATCTTCTTCTTCAAATTTTGTATTGCCTTGATAAATGATTTTTTCCTCCTCTTGGCTTATGGAGTATATGGATGCCGAATATTCTTTGATGGAATGACCTTGACCCCCTCTCTTATTTTTAAATTCATTGACAGTCTGACTCAATGTTTGAAGATACATGATAGAATCTTCATCTTGTTTCTTACACTTCTCACAGAGAAAGCCAAAGCATCTTCTACAAGAGGTAGCCCCTTGGTCTTGTCCAGCACCAGCACCAGCATCAATACCACGACCATCATCCCCATAAAAAACAACTACTTCATTAATAACTCTGTCTCTTTTGATGGTTCTTGCTCTAGCCAGTTCCATTTTAACTCTATCCACAACAGGATCAAATAAGGTTTCAACCAACCCCAGAGTAATTGGATATGGCATTTGCAATTCCTTTTCTGTTGGGACAAGTCATGGATGCACAACCTAAAATTATAAACATGAGTCATCTGTAGGAATATTTGGGTCAAATGTTGCCACATATGTGTCATATGTCGCTACAGATAGGTGATATATTGACACATATGGGCATCTGTAGCAACATTTGTGTCACATGTTGCAACAGAGGGATCATCTGTAGCAACATATGAGTCATCTGTAGTAACTTGTATCATATGTTGCGATAGATGGATCATATGTAGCAACATATGAGTCATCTGTAGCAACATTTGGGTCACATGTTGCTACATATATGGGTTAATAATAACTAACTGCATCATGAGGAGGGTTATAAAGATCTGGAATATTTTTTGGCAGTTTTTGTTTTTTATCTCAACCATCTCAATATCCTTGGAGATGAGATCTCTTCTTCTGCATTTACTTGATGGGTCAAATGAGGAATGACTTCAAATGCCCAAGCCTATAAAAATGGAAAACATGTCACAAATCAAATGTTGAATTATTCAATATAATATAAAAAGATTAAGAACATTTATGTTTACCATGAAAGCCCATGGAAAGACAAATACGTTATTGGTCTTTGGTCCTAAAGGTTTTAATAAGTATTTGACTGTTAATTCAAAGCTCTCATGACCCCAAGGATAGTTGTTGAAAGCCTCAATATCCTGAGATAAATTCACCCATTTAAGGGATATGTTGTTGTTGAGATCTTTGGCCAAAAGTACATTATGTACAAACCAAAGTAAGCACAATGACTCCTTCTGCTTCCTTGGTGTTTCCTCGACATTCAACAAATATATTAAATCGGTATTTTTGAAGCTTGTGCCAACAAGGGACATCAAGTCCTGCTCCTCAGTTGACTGTCTTGTTTCTTCTTTTCCTCCTTTCTTTCGTCTCTGTGGTTCGTTTTTTACTATGAATTCAGTGACTGGCTCAGAAGGAGGATGGCATTTTAACCCTGAAACTATGGCAAACTCTATTCTGCCAAAGAAGAGTGGCATGCCACAATAATTAATCAAAAACCTCATCATTCTTTTCAGGATTCTGAAAAAATGAACCTTATTTTCAGAAGTTCATAGACCATGGTCATTTGAAAAATGTGCATTATTATTCTCCGGCAAATCAAGAAAATGACCAAAACAACTATTCCAAAAAAAATCTTCCAAACCATTCTGCTTGAGGGTAATCCTGAAGGTGTCGAAAGGTTTTCCCATTGCTAACCTCATAATGCTATCACCAGTAGCATTAGGCTGCAAATGCACAGGAAAAGTGTGTGCATTTGATAGTTTTTGATCCCATCATCCTCAACTTCATTTTTTTCTTGTTCTTCTTCCTCAACTTCTTTTGCTCTTTATCCATCATCATCTACTTCATTTTTTTCTTTTTCTCTTTCTTCATATTCTTTTTGAGAAAATTCTGCTTCTACTTGAGAAGAAGAAACTGCTTCAGATGCTAGTTCTTCTAAAAGAGTGGTAGTCGAATTTTCATTCTTCTTCCTACAAGTTCTAGTCCTAGGCCTCTTTTGGATCTTTGTATCAGTTGTTTCTTTTTTTAATACAATTTTTCTTTTGACAGGAGCTATTATATTTGTATCTGCAACCACAAAAATCAAATATTTCTTAACAAAAATAACAACAACCAAACACAACAACACAAACAACAAATACGATTCAATACCACACATGAACCAACCAACAAACCACAAAACCCTCCCTAAACCCTAACCAACGAACTACAAATTAAGGTTTTTGAAATCAGATAATATTTCAAAAGGAATAACTATCCAACAATCCTACAAAGAAATAAGTGATAAAACCAATAAAAATGTCCTGATTTAATACCAGTAAGTGTTTCTCAAAATCCTAATTAAATTTTACCTGACAAGATATCAACGATAAACTAGAAATGATGAGGGCAACGACGCCTTGTTGTAGAAGAGGATCACAACAGATTACCACTGATGTTGTAAAAAATATCGCAACAACAACCTTGATCTATGAAGGAATAATGGAACGAGAGAAAGGAAGGAAAGAAGAGACAAGAAAATGGAAATTAGTAAAAATAAATTAAATTTGGAATATGAAATGACTTTTTATATAGGAGAGGAGAGAGGGAAAAATGAAGGGTCGATTGTTTTAAACCTTTTCGATTTTTTTTTTGAATTTTGACAATTCAAAGTGTGACATATGTTGCCACATATACCTTTTCTGTTGGGGCATATGTAGATAATTCTGTGGTATTTTTAACAACATAGGTTATATATGCTGCCACAAACACCACATTTCTTCCTTTCCATCATAATTGATATTTGTTCCAACAAAATAAAAATAATATTAATAATCATTAATATTAATTTTATCAGCAAAAATGAATAATGATGACAATATAATATTGCCACATATCTCCTTTCTATGACATATGTTATCACATATCTTCTTTCTGTGACATATGTTACCATATGTATCCTTTCTGTTAGGGAACATGCAGATAATTCTGTGGTATTTTTTACAACAGAGGTTATATATGTTGCCATAGACACCACATTTCTTCCTTCCATCATAATTGACATTTGTTCCAACAAAATAAAAATAATAATAATAATCATTAATATTAATATTATCAACAAAAATTAACACTTTACTAATTGTTTTATACAACTTATCAACAAAAAGGTAATTCACAATGGTATACATAACTATCAATCTAATCAATGGTGGTAACCACAACATTTTCATCTATGAACTTTGCTCTTTTAGGTCTAGACCTCTATGGGTCTTTATTGTTATTAACATAGACACTTCGAGCCTTTAAAATCCCATAATTACATAGGAGTGAAGCATATCTCAAGCGAAGGGATTGAGAAATAATTCCATCAGATGGTATTTGTACATCACTAAAAAACTCAGTGTATGCAGCAACAAAAACTCCACAATCACTGCATGGTATATCATCAATTAGAAAATATATTAAACCTAATGTTAACATCACATTTCGATAGTGGTTAGACTAAAAAAATAATGTGATACTACTTACAGACTATTGCTTGCTTGTTGGGCAATACCAGTAACATGTATGACTTCGAATGAGTGAGATTTGTTCTTGCCCTGGTAAGATTCAAGAACTGACTAGTTGGTTCGGTCTTTTTGCTCATAAAATCCGCTGGATTCAAGGTACTTTGGCAACTTTGTAGACAACTTTTGAATCTCGGCACACGATAAGGACATCGAATCATACACCTTTATGTGTCGTTCCTTCAATACAACGACTACCAAGACCCAATGAAACTCCCCATTACAATTTACAGGGACATAAACCTCATCTGTGAGGTGCCAAGGCAGTCCAACAGGTATACCAAACCTTTTGATAGTGCCAACGATTTTATTCTCATATTCAAGAACAACACTTGCATTGTCAATGTATGTTTTGAAAAAAACAATTAGTAGTGGTATATCGATATTTAGAATGACTTTGTTGCTTCGACTTCTTCCGTAAATAGTATAAAATGACATCCACATACTGCACAGATGCATCAACAAGTGTTTTTCTGTATCAATTTTATTTGTATGTATTCATGTCTTAATCAAAAGATAAAAGTGGGCATGAATTTACCCCATTAGTCCAACACTTATTGGGTTGAGACATTACGTAGAACCAGTCCTTCTTCTTTGGAAATGTAAATACAAAATCAAGTTGTTTGAACTCAAGATCCGAGCAATTGGCTAAGTAGTGATCGTCCTTGTCTCTTCTGCAATTTTGTAATTATTATAAATAAATTTTTAGTGGACAACAAGAAGAAATACTAATAAGAGTTGAACAACTTTACTTTTTTGCATGATGCTTGTAAAGACTCTCGTTTATCCAATGCGAGAAGGATGACATTAGTTCAGTTGGACCCTCGCCGTCAGTGTTAAAAACCTTCAAATGGAAATTGTTGCTTCACATCACAACTGACGACTTTGACTTTCTTCTCTTTCTTTTTCTCTTTCTCTTTCGCTTTCTTTTTCACTTCCTTCTCCATCACTTGCTCTTTCTCCTTCTCCTTCACTTGCTCTTTCTCCTTCTCCTTCTCCTGCTCCTTCTCCTTCTCCTGGTGTTAAAAACCTTCAAATGGAAATTGTTGCTTCACATCACAACTGACGACTTTGACTTTCTTCTCTTTCTTTTTCTCTTTCTCTTTCGCTTTCCTTTTCACTTTCTCCTTCTC